GCCTGCAACTCAGGCAGAAGATCACTTACCTCCCGTGCAACAGCTTGAGTATGACGGGTGCAGCAATCAAAGAGTAGCCGGATCGGCCGGAAGACCCAAGTCAACGCATAGATTACCCCAATGGTCAAAACTGTAATCAGCGCTAGTAGGGTTCCCCAGGCAATCCATGGCCAAAATTCTCCGCAGGTAGCGAGTCCAAATCGATCAAGAAAGTAAAGTCCCCAGCCCCCGGAGGAGCTAAGACTTCCCTTCTGTTGTGGGGTGCTAAACCATGCTGGTCCCATCCAGGACCTGATGTCAAAATGGAAAACTGAGTGACCCCACACATGAGCGAAAGTGTTCGCATCTCCTGCGTGAGGAGCGGAACGCTCACCTTCCTCAGGGGCCATCCTGGGAGGGGCGGTCTCGCCCACGGTTGCGTCTGGGAAAATCTCCTCCACCTCATCCGAGGAGTTGGAAGAAAACCACCAGACCCAATCAGCCGGGGGGCCTTGAACAAGCTCCAGGGTCAATGAGAGGCCCAGCACCGATAGCCATGGCCCACCCAACATTGTGACACCTGCCCTATTCAAAGCAGTCCCTAGGCTGCAATCACTTGAGCCAGTGAAAGCAGCAACCCAAGCTAACCCTACGTTCTGGCGAACACACGAGCAGATGTTCTGGATTTCCAGGCATCGTTCGAGCTAGATTGGTCGGTGCGATTTTCCAAATGCTGATTCTAACTTCCAGTCCGGCGGTATAAGCAGAAGGACATCCCTCACAAGATCCCACAAGCAGCAAAGGTTGGTCAGAACCCTAGTTCGACTATCCTAGTTGGGTACTCCTGGTTTTCCGGGTCCTAGTGACCTGGTCACTGGCTACCTCTGTAGGGTCCGCCTGAACTGACTCCCACTGTCTCCCAAGACAGCTTGACCTCGCTGTCCTCCTCCCTCATGAAAGCGGATGTCCCAATGCCCCTTCGATTGAGCAGTGGGTAGGTGATCCACAAACATCCTGGGTAGGAATTCGAGTTTGACCCCAGACACCTATCAATGGGGGGTGAAAAATGCCCTTACCAGTAACTATAGTGGATGAGGATGGTTAGATGTTAGTAGATTGCCTCTTTTCTTCCAAAAAATCGACTATATCAATTAAAGAGGGTTCACTCGTCCGAACCTCTGTGACGGCCGAACTGCGTCCGACGACCGAGGGACCCCAGGCCGTTCAGTTCGCCCAGGCCCTGGACCTTCTTAGGGCCCAACATGGTTCAAGCCTCCAACAGTTCCCTAGTCCTCAAAAACAACAGACCTGGTTCCGTAGTGTACAATGAGAGTTCTTTTTTAATAGGAAAACCGAGCAAATAGACACGACCGCTTGCGAGCATGTTTTCATCAATTGGAGATCTGGATCACCATTCCCGACCACAAATACAAAAAGAAATCAAAAGAAAGAATGGTTTGGATTGGCTTAACAAAACACACATTCTCCACAGGACTCTTCACCCCATTACGCACAAAAAAAACAAGACTCACCCCGCAATAAGAAGCCTATCCCCAGCATGGCCTGCTGGTGAGTTGTGGTGGGCATGTAGCTCCTCTTTCGCGCATCGAACTCCTGGCGTCCAGGCTTCGGTGGAAGGGGGACGGAGACCCTCGTAGAAACTCCTGTCGAAAGATGATATTTCTCCAGACACGAACTTCTTTCTGGGACACAAACGCCTAAAACAGAACAACAGAACAACAGGACAACTGGAACAGAACTTCTGTTGGACACAAACACCTGGGACAGAACAACAATCATTGTTTGAGCAAAAACGGATTTCCTGGTTCTTCAAAGTGACCAAACTTGATAACCTGGTTGGTTCGGTCACTTAAGTCTCCGAGTAGGGTCACTTAGGAACCTTCAAAAGGTCACGAAGTGAAGAAGCTGGTTGATCCAAAGGACGTTCCCAGGAGTTTGGTCCGGCTCGCGCAGGCGAGCGAAGCAGGCGGTCCGGCTAGAGCGCGAGGTACTCGACAGCTCGCTGCGGCTGGGGGGGTGGGGGGGAGACCACGGATCGAAGGCCCTGCCAATGCAATAAGACACTCGGACAGAACATGTCACGTGTTTGTGTATGTTCATCAGGAACCCGGGCTTCCCCCCTCAAAAACCATGGGCTTTGGGTGCTTTTGGGATGCTTTTGAGATGCTTTCGTGCGTTCTTCCGTCTAGACCCCCATTCTTCGTCCTATGCATTAACATCTTTCAGCACAACCCCCGCATATCTGACTGGTGCTTAGTCAGTGGGAATGAGAGGTCATGACCTCTCACTATAGATACGTAGCATCCAGCCACCCTCATTCTTTACTAAGCACCAGTCACGGCGTTCCGGTCAGGTCTTAGGTCCGGTCTGGGTTGGAACTCCAGGAGGACACAGCCAGGGAAGCCAGTTTGGTGGTCCTGAACACCTCATGGTTCGTCGTGTTTTTGTATGATCAACTCCAGTATTTCATGAGGTCAGTGCTTGCGTAGTGACATGTCGAGTCAGCTCATGTTCACATCTTCACACCAAAGACAGTCAGTCTGAAACGATCAGCAAAAGCGAAAACCTATATGTTTATCATGTAAACACCTATGAAACACCTGTGAACCATCCACTTAAATGGACACTGATTGAAACATCTTGAAGCTCACCCTGTTTGACCCATCAGTCTTGTGACCCGAGATTGACATCAAAGGTCACGCAAAAGCAGGTCACCCTTTTGTGACCTGTAGAACCCTGGGATGACAAGGTCACTTCGAAGAGCCCGGAAGTAGGTTTCATCCACTTCTCCTGTTTCCAGGGGGACCTTCTATCGACACCCCAAAAACATCAAACAACACATGCCCATGTCCAAAACGTTTCAGGGCAGCCTGATGCAGCCAACATCAGTAATTCGTTCACACCACTCAAGGCAAACCTCCCGGTCCCTCCACACCTGGCAGGAGACCAGTTTGCCACCCTGCCACTTCCTGGTGCTAACTCGGCCATCCTGGAGCTGGAAGCGACGAGGAGCGGAACGAGCGCAACGAACGTCCTCGTTGTGATCGAACGAGAACGAGTGGCGACCGGACAGGATCGGAAGGTTCGTTCAAAGGTGGTTCTTCCTGTATAGCATAGGTGCCTGCAGGAAGTTGGGTTGCTTGGGAATCAGGTTCACACCAACATGAAGTTGGAACATGTCCCAAACGCTCCATGTATGCCATATATATATATATATATACCTACATTGACCCCCAAAACCACCCCAATGTAGGCATATTCCATACATGGAGTGTCTGGGTGTTTTTTTCTGTGTATGAGGATCTTTCATTCCTGACGGACTCTTCAGGATCTCGCAAAGGTGTGCCTCCACATTACAGACCTCCTTGCGGCACTCTCCAATAACCCACCCATTATATAATTGTCAGCAATTTGTTTGTATATATGTTTGTATGTTCATGTGTGTTCATGTTCATGTTCATGCCTGTCACGGTCAGTAGACAAGGATATTCTATAGAGGAAATGATCCAAAAACATATCCAGACGATACCAAAACACGAGGTTTCAAACGTTTCGATGACTGTTTGTCGACTGACCCCCATGTGTGTCTTCAGTTGAGTTGGCTCCAAATCCCTACATGGACGGTTCCAAACATGGCGTTTCAGTAGTCTCCAGGGAGTCCAGCCTTCCCGCTCCAGCTTCCACTCTGGGTTTGCCCGGACGGCGAAGTAGAAGGTGCCACTCACCTTCACGCCCTTCTCCCACAAACCTCACAGATCGGTGTGGGACCGTCGGGGGTGGTTGGTGGTTCCACCCCGGCCTTTACCTCTAAGGAGCGAGTTATCAATCGAAACCCCCCCTGGCCCGGGTGTCCTGGTGTCCAGTGTTTTCTTCGAAAGGTGCTTGAGATGGATGACTCCCAGTGAGTTAGGTCTGGAAACGCAAAAAAAGAAGGCCCAAACTAAGGACTGGGGGATGTATAGCTGCCTCCCAATGCTGGAAATGTTTTTTCAAACAAACTTTAAAGATAACTGTCCATCAGTTCCTTCTGGGTGGCGTTTAGTCGAACTGTGTGTGACGCAGCCCCGCGTTCACGCAGCAGCGCATGTACTGCCAGAGACTACGCCAATTTGCCCCACCAGCAGAGGTTGAAGAACCCTATAGGTACCCCTATCCTATAGGTACTCCTGTAGGGTCCTATAAGGTCACTTAACCTCTGTAGGCAATGTTTGGTTTGGGGCAGGCGATCCACGGACTTCCTCCAGCGTTCGTCGGATAAGGCCACGTGTGGCCTAAAACCCCTTCAAGTCACAATATGATCCAACCTGTGCCAAAAACACACCGCAGGTATCCAGGCGTTTTTTGCTGTGTTTTGTGCATTTGAATTGATTTTGCTCATCCTGACGGGCATGTTTCACATGATCAAATCCACTCATCCCTCCAAATTGTTCATTCCCAAGAGCCCCCGGTGGTTTAGAGACACCCTGACCATGTCTTTTCTTTCCACTAACCACCCGCACTTATAGAGAGGTTAAGTGACCTTATAGGACCCTACAGGAGTACCTATAGGATAGTCTATAGGGTTCTTCAACCTCTGCTGGTTCGTGGTGCTGGTCCCGAACTCCGTGCTGCTGGTAGAGTCCTCCCATTGTCCATTGTCGGTAACCCATGGGGTCTTAGGCTAGGATCTTCATCCGCGGCTCTCCACCTCACACCCCGTCAGTCCCCCCAAAACAAAAATCGCCTGCCACATGTTGGGCAAGCATGGGCAAGTTAGCGGACGGAACAACAGAAATGGAATCCATGATAATCCATGTGGAATTCCACATGCTTCCACATCGCCCTAAGTGGAACGGGTGCGAGTGGAACACTTCGAGAAAAACCCGTTCGTTTCAACCCAAGTGGCCCATGAATTCGTCGCCGTTGCTGTAGGTGTACTTCCCTCGATCCTGCGGACCGTGCGACCCTCGGACCCGGTGGGACCCGTTCCACCGGCGTCAACTGGCCGGGCTCCGAAGCCTTCCGAAGCAACTGAAGCAAAAGGGCTGCACTGCTGCGCTTTTTGGGGGGGTATATACCACCAGAGGTGGGTCAGAACCCTATAGACAAGCCTAGTTGGGTACTCCTGGTGACGGGTCCTAGTTCAGGTCACTGGCAACCTCTGTAGGTAGTGCTTTCTTGGCCCCGCGCTGCACTGCATGGATCTCTCTTCTTTTCCCGGATGCTCCCATCACTCGTCGTGCGCGGTCTCGGGCTCGTCATCAGTGTAGGGCAAGGCATCGATATCGTGGCCCTTCGCATCGTGCTGCGTCACCTGCAGATGAGCGGCAGCGTGCCGCTGCCCCGGACCCGAGAGGCCCTTCATTTGGTCCGGCGGCGCTGATTAGGTGTTTGTTTGGTTGACTTTGTCTCGCAACATGTTGTATATATATATATTATATTATATTATATTGTTTTTGTAATGTTTAGGGGTCTGGGCAGCAAGATTGGCCTTAAAAACAAGTTGCCGCTTGCTCATGTGTTTACATTTGTCTGTGTGGAGCTCTGTTGATTCAAAGGAAATATATGTGACCCTTGAACTTGGCCCAGGTTTTCCTCAGTACGGATGACGCCTCTAATTTCCAACAACAACAAGACCTCGCAACAACAACAACAACAACAACACCAACAACACCATCCTTGGTGGGAAGGCCTGAGTTTTAATTTTCGGTGTGCATGAATAGCCCCTTAGAGATTGAAGGGGTGTTTCATGGTGTCCATTGACCTTGCAGGATCAAGGCCCGAGGCACCTGGACGGACAGAAACAATACCATTCAGTCACCCCGTGGCTCGGGACCATCAGCAATCACCCGTTTCACTCACCGCCCCAACAAACTCAAGAGCGCCATGTCACCATGAGGGCATCCTCATTGGCATCTTCTGCAGCGCGAGCCATCAAGCGCTCCATCTCCTCTTCGTCTTTCACCACCTGCAGCGCCCCCCGCGGCCGTTTGCGGCGTTCCGCTTTGCCCCCACGCGGCCGCCGTGTTCGGCATGCACGCGCACGCGTATGACGAGCAGCTCTGCTTTCTGCAGCCCACATGACTCCCGCATGACGTTCGAATGACGGAAGGTCAGGGGTCCACGTCAGTGGCTCGTGGTCGGAGTTCAACGACGCAAGAGGTAGAACAAGGAGAACGATCCCTGTTCATACCTCCACCTGTTCATACCTGAGACACTTCATACCTGAGAGTGTCTGTCCACTTCATATCTGAGACAAGAGGTAGAGAAACCCTAAGTCCAGTTCGAGTATATGTCTTGACTGGCTGAAGTAAAAAGGAAGTTCCCAGACTCAGGTCCCCTACTATAGTCAGACCATTCCTTTTATCGTCGACTTGACTCGCAGGGATATGCCAACCCTTCAATCTTCAATTCCAGGCCCTAGGGATCCAGTCGTACCTTCTCAGGTCTCCAAGCACGGTGAGAAACCTGAGACACATTGCCACCCTTGAACATACCATCGCCTGAGCGAACGCCCATCTTCGGCCCCCCCAACGGACCCCCCCGGTCCGCCAAACGCACCAGAGGCAAACGACTCAGAGGATCCACACGGAGTCGCACTCAAGTCCAGTGGCATGTCCCCCTTGTCCTTCACCAACAAAGAGGTTCATCTTAAAGGTGGTCCACTTATGTCCACTTTGCTCAGGTATACCTCCCCATCCTTCCCAAAACCCCTCCACCCCATTCCACCCCCCACCTGCGCATAGTTCTGGCGCACCTCCGCCTTCCGCCCGTGCTGCAGCGCCACCGCCGCGCGCCGCGTGGTGGCCACCGCGTCCTCGAAGAGGTCCGCTGCGTCCGCCTCCGCTTGGGAGGCGTCCTGGTGGTTGCGATCGAGGCTGTGGGCGCTTCGAGCGCCCAAGCAGCTTGACCAAGCTTCGAGATGGCCTCCATCGTTTCCCCGAAAGCCGCCCGAAAGCAAGGCCATTAAACAGAAGGCTGAGCTGAATTTTGTAGTGTATAGTCTGTATAGTAAAAACATGTTGGTTTGTTCAGCCAAGTATATTAACTTATGTAATGGTGGCTGGAATCCTATAGGGATAATACGCCTGTTTGTAGGGCCTAAGAAGCTTCCAAAAGACCTGTAGAGTTGAGTGCTGGGTGTTGTTTTTTAAGGACCAAAGGCAGCCTGAAGACCTGGGTGTTTGAAACCTGCATGTTTTTAGAAAAAACCTCTTGGCACTGCCAAAGCCCGACCGGGTTCCAGGTCTGGTCGACTGGGCGATTAGGCGGGACGACCGTCCACCAACCTGCGAGAAAAACCATCTCTGCTAAAGGTTAAACCAAGAGCAACAACGAATTATACACCTGCAAGCTACTCTCATATAGATCGAGTATCCTGGAATGATTCGGAATGATCATGTTTTTGGTCTTCCGTATAGCAGCTGTTTCGATCTCAGGATTTAGAATGGGTTTAGGTTCGCTCCCGCCCTTTTCCTAAGAGAGCCTAAAGGGGTTAGAAGTTCGTAACCGTAACAGATTGTGGAACGAGCTGCAAGAGATTCCTGCTCCCCCTGGGATCCTTGGAACCCATTCACATCATCTCAGTGGATCTTTGGTACTTACAGCACGGATCCACTGAACCAATTCCTGCGACACCCGTCTCCGCGCATGGACATGCACCGGTGCACAAAAAATGCTTGATGAGAGCTACCCACCCTGACAAGAAGAATGACAGCGCGGTTTGGATCTTTTTTCAGGTCGCTGCAGGTCCTTCTTGAGGAAGTTGTCCATCTGGGCATCCTTCTGGTCTCCTTTGCTGTAGAAGAGGAAAGAACTGTGAGAGCTGGGACTTGATCTTCGACTCGTCTGCAACGGCCTCGTCACCGACAACACGACACCGACTCGACCGACCTCTCCGTGATTTCGAAGGAACAGGTTTGGAACCATCAGGCTTCTTTCTTGAAACCAGACGTGTTCCAGATTCCAGGTCACCATCAGGCTTGATTTTGACATGAGATGACTAGTCGACTCATTCCAGGTATGCCATAGATGCCAGAACCATCAGGCTTTGAACCATGAAGCACCTGTTGGGATCCGGTTGGCTGGTGAGCATGGATAGGCAGGCTATGATCAGCCCAGTGAGCTATGATGACTCATTAAAACACATACAAACATGAGTCATGATCAGCCCAATTCCAACCAAGTATCCCTAGGATTCCGAGCCTGCCAGGGCCATGGAATTGCAACTTTTTTGTGGCCTGAATCCCGAACCACAGAACTGTATTGTTGTTGATTATTTTTCTTTAAATCTATACCAGCAGTCACGTTCGACGAGGTGCTATCCATGGAGGTAGTCGGGGTGCCGAGCTACTCCACTCACTGGATGGGACTAAACACTACACCTTTGTGACTCCTGGTATATACGCATTTTAGTAGACATCTTTAGACTACACCAGGTCACACCGGGTCCTCCTGTCATGGTCGAACGGGTTGCGGCCAGGTGGCAGCACCGAGCCGGTCTCTTCGGCCCAAGGACCTGCCGGCAGCTTCCCGCCGTTGGACGATAAGGGGCACTCATGGGGGTGGAGGGGGGGGGGGTGGAGGTCAAGTCCCAGAATCGATGCTTTTTCTCACTAATGGGACTTCCAGGTCCCACCTTCGACCGTCATCGTCCTTCACTCCTTGGCGATGATGATTTGATGGTTCAGTTGCAGACCCTTCTCCCTTCTTTAACATTCACCAATTCTTTATATGGACTTGTTCAGGTCATGGGACGGTCGACCCTGGCGCCATACACGCCACCACTGGTCACCATGGCCCTTGCTCACTGGGGTCGACTTGTTCCAAGTCTTGACACTGGGACCCCCAGCAATCGACGACCAGTCGGACGAGAATCGTCGGGTTTTCTCGACCGCCGGGGAATCGACGGATGGCGCGGGCTTGGCGGAAGAACCACGTTTTGGCGGGCAACCGACATGATGGGGCACTCGATAAGAACTTGCAGTTATCTGCAGTCTATATGGCCATACTAAAAGTGGTATCGAAAGCGTATTTGAACCTCCAGACCGCCAGACGCTTGTGAATCCTGAAGAAGGCTGCGCAGCCCCAGCGACTGCAGTACTTCCTCAGTCAGTATTATGGGAAACCCACAGGATCACCCATCCCTTTCGAGGTTTTCGACGTTCCAGCTTGGGCACATCCGCATAAATCCATGACCTCAAGATCCCAGGTCCTTTGTTGAACCCCGCCAAGCATGGTTACGCTGGTCATCACACTGACCATATAGCCTTCTCATTCTCCTGTCTCACGACTCAAGGAACAACGGGACCCTTTAGAAGGGGTGCACTGTCTGGACTACCCTACACAATACCCTGGAAGTCCAAAGACTATACCTTCCCTTATATAGTGAGGTAAATTCTTTTTCAGATCACCTAGCCAGACCATTCTTTGTACAGTCTTTCACTCGCAGGGTATAGTTATAAAGCTCCACACAGGACACCCCGACAGGATGTTCCAGGTAGATTCCATAATATCGCATGCACTGTGTGGCATCTCCATCCTCATCCCCTCATGGCATGGCTTGAAATCCTCGGTGTGGACTGGCTTGAACGCGAACAACCTTCCTAGATGATGTGGATCACCTTCCTTCTGTAAGAAAACACCCCCCAAAACACACCAGAAAAGCCTCCTCCACCACGTAGTCCACCACACCGGATCTTCCTAAGAAGGACCAACCACCAACCACACACATCTCTTTCATTCCTTCCTCGGTCTCGGTCCAGCGCCACGACACGCACTGCAAACCACGACCACGACCGACCCCCCCCCATCTTCGACCTGCCTGCATCTCGTCCCACGCCGGAAGCGGCGCCGCTCCTCCCTGAGCAGTGCACAAAGGCGATGGAACCCCCCCCAGAATGGGGGGCCCATGGAAAGTCACAGCAAGACTGTGACCCAAGCGATTTGATGGCACACCAAATTATTCAGAAATTAATGACTTGGAATTGCTCAAGGAACCTGGATGACCTACCTTCACCACCCCAAACCACCAGTCCTGAAGCACTATTTGCTGTTCCATGGATCGTCTGTGTGAAGAATTTGGTCGATCCAACACCAGGTGACTAGCACCAGGTGAGTAGGGAAGAAGGGAGCTTTAGGCTTTGGACCACGAGATCTTTCTGTCAAAATATGGCTGCGGGTCAAGATCTTCCGGGACACAAGGTGACCAGCGAAAATGAATTAAAAGGTTGACTATGCCTGGGAGGTCAACCTACCAGGAATTCAAGGTCTGGGTTTTGATCCAGAGCGATATCTCAATAACTATACCCTAGACTTCCAACCACCATTAAATTAATAGGCTGAATCCCGAGCCAACTAAGGATTTTACACTACAAAACCAGGTCTGTCCCTTTTTTTTCATGGTCTTGGAAGTCTAGGTATATAAACTAATAACATATCGATCATACACCCCCTAAAAGTGTCAGGTGGTGACTTGTGAAGTCGGGTGCTGGTAGACTCATCATGAGCACCGCGGATGGGACAAATCCGAAAGCCAAAGTGGTGGTTTGTACTCGCTCCACTTCCACCATGAATTGTCCTTCCAACAGCACACAGGTGGTCAGCAGTGATGTCTTGATAAGCAAACATGTCCAGTTCTCAGATTGCAAGATCCAGTTCTCGGCCTGGTACGTTGTGCTTTTTTTTTCCCGGAACCCCCAGATGTCTGGCGTTTTCGTGGCACCTATAGTGACGACTTACATTGACTTACATCACCCTCTCACATCCGTCCGATGTTTTCTGTAAAGAAACACGTTCCCCTTTTGCCGAACTGTCCACCTGTTCGTTGTTCGTGAGCAAACCCAAACACCAAACAGATTGGTGTTGGTGATCTGACGGGGTAGGTGTCGATTTCGTTGCAAGATGTCTTCTCGACAGTCCACGGAGTCCACAGCTGCAAAACAAAGGCCAATGCCATTTAATGCCAACATCCTCATCCCATACACTCCATATATGCACTATATGCTTACATTGACCCCCCTGGCACCACCCCAACTGATCGGCAGTCCTATGGCAGTCCCAGACAGGTTGTGTCTGGGCATGAGAAATTCTCTTTGCTACGCCCAGGTTCCGTAAGCTTTCAAACGTTCCAGATCTTCGTGCACTTGAGCAATTGTTTGACCTGGAGACGGGGGGGGCTAAGCCCCATCGCTCGAAGCACCTCTGCCGTCACGCACACAAAAAAAATAAACATTCACGAGGGGGTTGGGAAGAAAGGCAAACCCAAATACCTAAATATAAACATATCTACAATCCCAGACACTCCATGTATGCCATATTTGCCTACATTGACCCCAAAAACCACACCAATGTATATATATGGCATACATGGAGTGTTTGGGAATTCTACAATTAATAGATCCCAAATGAACGTTTCAACACCACATGTATCATCCTTGATGTCGAATTGCGTCTTCCATCTTCGACTATCCAGGATGACTCTCCTTCGCTGCTGATCCATGTTGCGTGGAGGGTCCACCCCACCCCACCTGTGGGAAATGGAAAAAACTCAGGACTTTACATGCAAGATCCTGCACACATTGCTTTCCCAAACCCTCAAGAAAAGGTTGAACTGGTGTTCTAACAAAAAATTCTTCGTAAATCAAGGGTCGTTCAGGACTGCACCCGTGAAAAATCAACGGATTCAATGTGATTTGTCTGAAAACCACCCCTGTGCGTTCGCCGGCTCAGGCGGAGGAACTTTCGAGAGGTTGGAGGTCCCAGCGTCTGTCCGTTTTTTTATGTTTGTTTTATAGTTCTTGTTTTCCCCCGTCACTAGGCCGAACTTAGTGAGCTTTGCTTGCCATGCATGCCACAAAGGATTGCAAGATCCAGTCGTTGCAAAGAGGAAAAAGGTCCTCAACGGTCCTTGTTCTCCGTGCAACCGTCGTCCCCTTGCAACCGGACTGAGCATCCCAGAGCGAATCGGTCAAAGATGACCCAAAAACGCCGGAAAAAGGGGTCCGGAGCGGGTCATTCTGGTCAATTGGCTTCTCAAGTCGAGGGACGGTAGAAGGCAGCCACTTTGGGCAGCTCGGACACTGACGCCCTCGGCGCGCGCACCGCCTCGGGCGTAGCATCCTGCAGGTGCGCGGTCTGCGCGGTCTCCAGGCCGTGCGCGAAAGGCGCCGGGAACGGCGCCGACAGCTGCTTTAAGAAACCCATTAGGCCGACTGCTACACAGCTGGTGTTGATGGCTCAAGAACTAGTCCAAATTTGGAAACTCTGGTAAAGTCAGATGCCAAAAAGGCCAAAAGAAGGTGGCAAAAGGGGGACCCAGCTAGCATCTATCATCCATATGGTATCGTTTCCATGTGTTTTGCCTAGCTGCAGCTAGGGGAATGGGGTGTGAATCAGGTCTTGCCCATTTCCAAAGTTGAGCATTGGGATGCAGCTATTGACATTGACAACATTTTTTCAGGTGGTGAAGGGCGAGAGGGGCAACAAACAAGCATCGGCAAAATCATGTTTGATTCGTCCTGTGGCATCCAGTGGCTGTTTCTGCGCCGATCTGCTCCTGGCAACATTCCTAGAACAAACCAACACTCCATGGAAACCAATGCATATTTTCGCTTCGTGTGCGTTTGACTCTGAGCTACCGGGGCGCTGATCGAGCCCCAACAGCTGCAGGAGGTGTCCGTGTTGGTCGGCTGAAAACATCCGAAGAATGCATGGAACACCTACTAGACCCTTTGACTTTGAATTTTCAATCACGATGTTCATCTACAATTGGCTTATGAAAAAAAGGGAAAACACCTGGAACAACATTGCGCATGGTCTGCACGTGGTTTGCTTCGGTTTGTTTTTTGGATCTGAGAGCACGTGGGAGCCGATGTTTCCTCGGAGCCGCCGATGTGGGCACCGAGCCACTTGTTTGTGGCCTTTTTGGGGATCTGCATTCATATGAATGACCAAAGTCTGTAAGCAGGTGCCAACAAGGCAATGGCCCCACGTTCCAGAACCTGAAGCAGCAACTTCGTGGACAATGCTGCATTTTGCGGAAAACCTGATCTCTCAAAAACTTGGTGTCAGAGAAAGTCTACCGGAAACTATGGTGTTATCCACCATAGACCCACCACCATAGCGTTGCCAAGTGCTTGGGGGGGCTGGAAAGTTTGTGGGCTTCAGCGCGCCCAATTCTTAAGTCAACGGCTATGATCCGGAACCTCATCAATCAAAGATAAAAGATAGCCCCTATAAACATCTAGATCCGAATGGATTAACTGTCCCCAACTCCGTCCCCACAATTTCTCCAGCCGCCTCCGCAACGGCTCAGTTCCGGCTCCCCTTATAACCTGTCAGTCTGTCCTGGAACTTTCCATCGGCCCAATCTCCCTCGTAGCAGTCTCCTCACATGCTCACGTTCGCTCGCTGCTTCTCGGCCGGTCTGGGAAAGCGAAGCAGTGTGGAGTCTGGTTTCTTGCAGACCTGCGTGTTGTCTTGGGGCATTTTCTTGAGATAGCTTTTCTCCACCTGTCAGGTGAGGGTTGTTAGATTTTACGTCAGCTCGTGCCCCTCCTCCTCCTCCTTCCTCGTCCTTCTCGTCATCCGCGTCGTCCTCAACCGCGAGCCTCGGCTGGTAGTGTTCCCCGCTGGTAGTGTTCTCGTCCTCCATGCCAAGGCTCAAGTTCTGTGGTCCAGACGAAGGGGATGCGGCCACTGCAGAAGCGGATCTCTCGACCTTCTTTTTCTCTCTCAACCCAACTCCAGCAGCTTCTGCTTCTCCACCAGCCCCCAAACTGTCTTTGAGCTTTGACCTCAAGCTCAACAGGGCGTCTGACAACCCCCTTCTTCCCTTCTCCTTGCCTTCGCCAGGATCGACCTCTCGAGCCTTTCGCTTTGCCGCAGTTGAGGCCTCCTCGAACTCCTTGGGGATCTCGGTGTTGTCGTCGTCGACGAAGATCGCTCACTTCTCCTCTGACCTTCTCTCTGCACCTCCAGGCCTCCTCAAAGCGCTTGGCCTCACCTCCTTGCTGGGCTCCTCGACCTCGTGATCTGCCTCCTCTCCAGGTCCAGCAACATCGACTCCAAGCACCTCGTGGCATAGGGCTACCCAGCGCTTGTATCCAGATGGCCCCAAATACCCTGGTCGAAGACTCTGTCCTGGGATCACTTGCAAGGCCTTGGCATGACAAAGATAGTTCCGAGCAGTAGGGCATGGAACATCGTTGCACATGTGAACATGAGTAAGAACCTTGTTCAAACTGGTAAGGGTCCTGCTCTCCTTGCTCTCTTTGGTTCCTAGGGACACCACCTCTGCAGCAATACTGGCATCGGCCAAAGCCTTGTGGGACTTTACGAATAGAGGCACTTCTATCGTCTTGTCTCCGCAGTCGACTTGACAAATAAGAACTCTCCCTGCGAAGACACCCATCATCAACCACCGCTCTCTGTCCTCCTCCAAGTCGAACCATCCCGTGTCCTCACCGGCCTGTTCACCTGCAGCGTCGTTTCCCATCGTGGTCCCTGCCTTCTTTCTCTCGCCTCCTCTCGCGCCTAGCTCGGGGCTCCTCTACCTGCTCCTCCTCAAGGCCTCGACGATCCTCTGTCCTCAATCTCTCACGCGCTGACCTATCCTCAGTCGAGCCTCCTCCACTGCTAGGCCTCGGAGGGAGTGTAGGCCTTGGCGGTTGGTAGGAGAACGCTCTTACTGAAAATGCGAAGCGTCTCTCAACGTCTCCAACCCCTTCAGCGCACCCTCCAACCAGGAAACTGCGATCCTGGCCTCCAGCCGACTGTGGGGCTGGAACCTGAGCTCTTGGCCTATCTTTCGGAGGGCGTTGCAGGCCTTACACAACCCTCCCTCCTCCACGAAGTGCGTGCGTGAACACGCGGCGCAGGCAGCCGGCATGGACGGTTCGACCCACCCCGACTTGAGTACAAAAAAGCAGGGGTTCACAAACAATCAGGGTCGACCTCAAGAAAACCGTTCAATTCGAACAACCAATTGTTAAATCCGGTTGCCGCTCTGATTTTGAAAGGCCAGTACGTCTGGTTGATCGACGTGGCACGCTGCGTTCCAGCAGCTACGAGGAGTTCGAACCTGTTTTTATTATCGAGCTTGGCCATGCGCATGATATCAGCCACTTTCATTCGAGGATCGTCGTTGCTACGGAGGTATCCGGGGAGGTTGCGCAGTGCTTCCTCGACTGCGCGGTGGATTGCGTCTGGCGGAAGGGGCGCCTCCAACTCTTCTGCTAATTTCTGCTCAACTCTATCCTGCAAGAAAACATGTTTGGTGGATATTGCAAGTGCAATACACACATCATAGATCCATGGTGGATGTATTGCGGCCGAGAAACCCTGCTGGACCTTTGAGCGCAAAGTCCGCGTCGTGGGCCGCTAGTTTCCGCGGCTGAGTGAGTGAGGTTGAGTGAGTGAGTGAGTGAGGTTGAGTGAGTGAGAGTGAGGCTGAGTGAGTGAGAGTGAGGTTGAGTGAGTGAGAGCGAGGGTGAGTGAGTGAGTGGTTGAGTGAGTGCGGTTGAGTGAGTGAGAGTGAGAGTGAGTGAGGTTGAGTGAGTGCGGTTGAGTGGGTGAGAGTGAGAGTGAGTGAGGTTGAGTGAGGGAGTGAGCAAGTGAGTGAGGTTGAGTGAGGGGGCGGAGGCGGCGGGAGGAGGCAGTCAGGATGCAACGACAAAAACAAGAACCCCACGATAGAATGCTGGGGAACAACAACAACAACCAAACAACCAAACAACCAAACAACCAACCAAACAACCAACCAACCAACCAACCAACCAACCAACCAACCAAACAAACAAACAAACAAACACACAAACAAACAAACAAACAACAACAACCAACAAACAACAACCAACAACCACCGACAATGGTAATGGGAAAATCATCTTTTCGATTCGGTTCTTTCGACAGACGGTCATCGACAATTGGGATGTCATCTCCGCCCTTTGTTCGGGCAGAGAAGCCAAATCCACGTTTCAGATCCCTTATCCGTTTCATGAATTCGTGCAGATCTTCTGGCCAAGTGGTTGACTTCTGCACCTTCAGCGAGAGGACCAGTAGTTTCTGAACATATAGGAGCGAACAGAAAAATAGGTTCTGAATGATGAACAGCGTCAGGATGTTGATCTTGCTTGATCGCATTCTCCATCTCCTGGAGTTTTAGCTCCATCGTCTTCCTCAGCGTTTCCCTGATACAGCGGTCATTATGCCTGGAACCAGGCCCATCCATTCCCGTCTCACAGGCTATGCACCTCCTGCGGCGGTTGATGCGGCTGCGGTGGCGTTCCACGACCATGGCATCTGATGTCCACAGCTGCAGCTGCAGCTCTCGTGTTAACTATCTCGTGTCGATATCTCTTCTCACTTTTTTGGCCAGAGCTTGTTGTTGTTGTTGTTGTTGGTTGTTGTTGTTGTTGGTTGTTACTTGTTACAACAACAACAACAACAACAACAACAACACCAACACCAACGACCAACGACCAACGACCAACAACCAACAACCAACCAACAACAACAACAACCACAACCACAACCACAACCCCATCCAAAACCCTAACCAACACCAACCAACCAACACCAACCAACCAACACCAACCAACCAACCCCAACCAACCAACCAACCCCAACCAACCCCAACCAACCAACCAACCAACCAACAAACAAACAAACAAACCAAACAAACAAAAAAACAAGCAAACAAGCAAACAAACAACAACAACCAACAAACAACAACCAGCAACCACCGACAATGGTAATGGGAAAATCATCTTTTCGATTCGGTTCTTTCGACAGACGGTCATCGACAACTGGGATGTCATCTCCGCCCTTTGTTCGGGCAGAGAAGCCAAATCCACGTTTCAGATCCCTTGCCCGTCTCATGAATTCGTGCAGATCTTCTGGCCACGTGGTTGACTTCTGCACCTTCAGCGAGAGGACCTCAGGAGAGTTGGATTCAATGAGGCCACAACACGCATAGGTTTTCGCTGAAGGAACAGTAGTTTCTGAACATATAGGAGCGAACAGAAAAAATAGGTTCTGAATGATGAACAGCGTCAGGATGTTGATCTTGCTTCATCGCATTCTCCATCTCCTGGAGTTTTAGCTCCATCGTCTTCCTCAGCGTTTCCCTGATACAGCGGTCATTATGCCTGGAACCAGGCCCATCCATTCCCGTCTCACAGGCTATGCACTTCCTGCGGCGGTTGATGCGGCTGCGGAGGTGTTCCACGACCATGGCATCTGATGTTCACAGCTGC